AATATTAAAAATAAATAAAGAACTCTTTAATTTTTAATAATTCAACTTAAAGATTTAAATATGAATCTTTAATTTTAAAATTTTCAACTTTAATGCCATAGTCATGAGTTACCTATTTGATTCAAACAGATTTCAAATGATTATAATCTTTTGATTTACAATCAACTTTTATCCATAAAATAAATATGCTTCTCAACTAAAGTTGTTGTAATATAGTGACATTTAAATCTGTTGAAATCAAACATTTTAATACATTAAAAGCTACAAAATTTGAATCTTGTTGCTTGACTAGGTAGGAAATTATTCTAAAATTGTTTAACTAATCAGAAGTTATTAAAAAGATGGTTAAAGTACTACAAATAAAAAAATTATTTAGTGTAAGTCTTAGCATGTGTCAACAATAATTTTTCTATCAATACAATTATCTCGCGAATTTTGTAAAAATTTCATCAAAAGAATACCATAAGTGGTACAACGCGAATAAAGCAAAAAAACACATTAGCTTTATTGTTTTAATGCTGTAGGAAAAAAAAAGTGGATGCAAATAATATTAAGCGCATTAGCTTTTACTATCACTTACCAATGTGTGAGGCACTAGTCTGCTTATCAAAGAACAAACGCGTGTTATGATAAATTAACGCAAAAACATTACAAGAACCATCACGAAAGTTCAGAGCGCGCAAGAACCTAGTCGAGGAATGAATCACGGAGCTGTCTTCAAAGTGGACGGCGTGCATTCCTTTTTTCACCTGAACTCGTAGATCTGTATACTATGTTCTGGCACGTGCCTAAGATTCAAGGATTGATACCTACAAAAAAAAAAAAAAGAAATAAATTAAATACATCATATGCAACACAAAGAAACATTATAAAGTCGATAAAACGGAAATCCGTGATTTTATTTTGTCCAGTCATTTGACGAAATATTACCATTCAGAACTGCGATGGTAGTAGTAACCTTCAATGGAAGCAGCAGATTTTTGGAAACAAATGTAATAAAAGCCTGCAAAAGAGGCACCGTTGATATCTTTGATTGTATGATCAGGTACTAAAAAGTGCTCTTTCCATCTCATAAAAACGTAATCAGTTCCCTTTAATGCTTCGTAATCAAATGTATCAGAATTAAAGGTTTTGGCATACTGACAAAACGAGTCAAATTTGCTCTGAAATAAAAAGCCTTGTATTAATATTTATTCGCTGATGAAGTTGGCTGATAAAAATCCAGTTCCCCAATGAAACTTACCCAATGCTTTTTATCCACATCTTCATCCGCATCCCATTTACGCGTGAGAAACGGATACTTTTTAGAGATAATTTCTCCATCAAAAAAGGTAGTTAACGTCGGAAATTCCTCGGTAAGACCTTTTATTTTAAGATAGCCACAAAGGTAACTGTTCTCCTCATCCACGTGCTGCAAAACGAACAAATGATTTAAATGGATCAAGTAGAAATTAAAAGGCCAAACAACAGGAGCCAGATGCTTGGATGAAAGAAATATTTATCAAAGGCCCAGGTCGGCATGTAAGTGTAATACGTAGGTATACCTGCAAGACGACCTCGACATCATAGCTGTTGCCTTTGGACTTTTGGGAGCCCTGAAACCTAGAGCCGTTGTAGAGGAGCGACTTGGTGACACCCGGCTGTTTCGAGTTTGCCGGCGGTGGCGGCACGACGTCCACCTTGACCGGCATCCTCGCGTTATCCCCCGATTCAGACAGCGCCGTAATAGTCAATGGAACTCGCCCAGCGGATGAGCGAGTCGCCGCTCGGCATCACAAGACCGGACTCACTCTTCCTCTCTCTTTCTCCTTCCAACTCGTCTCTTTCACGCGCCTCCAAAACAATAATCACCCCGCGACAATCTTGCACTTGTTCCACAAGTTGGGGGTGGATTAATATGATAACAGTACACAACGAAGGGAAGAATAAGAAGGTAGACGCCCGTAGACGTTGTAGACCTGGCGGGCTGGCTAGGTGTCCGACTTAACCGTGACAGCCATTAGGACGTGTTAGGACCCAACTGATGTGGTTACTTGAGAGTCCTTGCCCTTTACCGGAGGGCAAGTACCTCTACGACTTGTCGGTTGCGGTGAAGAGTCTTGCAATCTGCTGATTATCGAATAGATAAGTAGACGCGTAAGGCAACACACAGATGTTCACTGAACCCTCGCAAGTTCGCGACCAGAGATTTCTCTGTCGCGATTACCGATGTCTGCACTGCACTCTCTGCACCTCTTCGTCGTCGGTCGACAACTCTCTCTCTTCTCTCTCTCTCTTGCTCTTACCACCGATACATAACGTGCATTTATAAAAGCTATAATATGTTAAGCCTACTGTAGTTGAGTGTAGTCGTGTGCAAAAATTGTGAGCGGATTATTTTGCGTTGTCGCACTCTACACCTGTACTCGCGTAACTCATCATTCAATCGAACGAACTGCTGAAGCTGCTGAACTTGATGAACAAGCAGAAGAGAAAATATAAAAAGGGATGGAGAAAATAATTTCGCACGCCTGCAGCGCCGCCGCCGCGCCGCCACCCTTTCCCTTTGCGAGCGAGAAACGCGGAACTGGAACGGCTGTCTGCAAGGTAGAAACGCTAGGGAACAGGGAAGTCGAACCACATCAGACGGAGGCTGTGTAGTGGGGCGAAAGTTGTTGTTGTGTAGTTTTGTTAAACAGGATACTTTTTTTAAACTACACGAGGGAGAGATAAGGTCAGAGTGAAGGTACGAGGACTCGAGGAGAGTGCTGCGGTGTTTAAGAGCGTTTAATACGAACCATAAATGCTGGAGTTCTAGTGGGACTCACGGCTTCGTGCTGTACTGCCTCTGTTGCGTTTTTTAAGCCAACAGCGCGAGTGTGTGATTACTATTTTATTCGGATATAATTAGTTTTGCGTGTGCAAATATGGCCGAGTTTGGGGACACGAATTCGCATTCCGTCGGACAGAAAAACAATCACTTGCCCCAACGACACAACAAGCAGTGGGTGAGGCTAAACGTCGGCGGCACGTATTTCCTCACAGCCAAGACTACCCTCATGCAAGATCCCAACTCGTTTCTCTATCGACTCTGCCAGGAGGACTCTGACCTCATATCAGACAGGGTTAGTTTTTTTTTTTTTTTTTTTTTTTTTTATCTGTAATATTAACTTATTGTTTATACAGCAGAACATCACCACAATGCTTATAAATAACAAAAGTGTGATGTATTAATAATTTAATACAAGCAGGGGCGCCTCAATAGCTCTCTAGAGAGCACCCCTTGCTCACATGTTATCTTGCTTGCTTTTTTCCACACATTATAACGTATACCTGTAGCAGTGCTCATGTCTTTTTCCCTCTTGCCCTCGTCTCTCTCTATGTACATTTTAAGCGATGTATGTATGTGCATGTGTACACAAGGCCAGACAAGTCAACATGCACATGCTCTTTATTTTCGCGATGGCCTATATTTTATTTGCTTGTTCCTACGGTCGTGATTTTAGGACGAAACCGGGGCATATCTCATAGACAGAGATCCAACGTACTTTAGTCCGATTCTCAATTACCTGCGGCATGGCAAACTCGTTATAAACAAAGATCTTGAGGAGGAGGGTGTGCTCGAAGAGGCCGAGTTTTACAATATCATCGAGCTCATCAGACTGATCAAGGAGAGGATCATACTCAGAGACGCGAGACCCGTGCGTGACTCCAAAAAACACGTCTACAGGGTCATACAGTGTCACGAGGATGAACTCACGCAAATGGTGTCTACGATGTCGGATGGATGGAAATTCGAACAGGTTCATAATTATATTTTTAAAATAAATACTTTGAACAAAATATTTTTTTATTTTGAGCAAGTACGGAGTTGTCCTATCTTCCAAAATATTAAATCTGATGTAGCAACAAATGATAAACTTCCGAGTCTGTATACAGCTCAACAATTTTTATCATTTTCCTAATACATTATTATTGGCGATGTTTTACTTACAAGCATGTCAGATACTTGCCAGTAAGAATCGTAGATAAGGAAATGTAAAGTATGTGAATACACTATGACTATCATGTTTTCTCTTGTAAAAAGTGAAAAATTACATAGTTTTAGACTATGTATAATTACTTTTCTTGATTTTTTTTATTTTTTACTATTTTTATCCAAAAATTTTTAACCATAAATCTTGATTTTAATATCTTTGTAGTATATTTCCAAAAACCTCTGTTTTTCATGCTCAAGTTTTTATAGTACTCCTACTTGTCGGCGTCTTCCATGTCACTTGATTTTCCTAAGTGTTATTTTCAACAGTTCACAAAAATTTTACAAACGATTTGCTTCTTGTTTTAGCTAATCAATATTGGCTCTCAATACAATTACGGCAACGACGATCATGCTGAATTTTTGTGCGTTGTCAGTCGAGAATATGGATCTACGCAACTACCTAAAGAACAGGAGTCGACAGAACGCGTCAAGGTACATCAACCTTCCTCAAATCTCGCGCATTCACAACCCAGCCAGAATCATTCTACTTCTCGCGATTAGCTATACTTACTTATCAGATTTATATATTTTTTCTTACCAACTTATAGATTTTTTTAGTATTTCTTGATGTAATTTACAATGTACCGAATTATCATTATTATTATTTAGAGTAGTATTATTATTATTATTATTATTATCATCATCATCATCATCATTATTATTGGTACCTATAGTAGTTAAAATTATAAAAGGGTGCCTATGATTTATACTATTTTTGGGACTGACTACTGCTTTGTCTACTCCATTGCTTATACAATTTCAAAAAACGTTCCAGTGCTTAAATTTACGTTTTATGCTGTATAACGTGTGGCCAGTCTTAAACTGAGATTTATAGCAGTATTTTTTCTATTAACCTTTATTATTTGGTGATTTCATTGATATTTTATTGAAGTACTAATGTGTGTGACTAATAAATTATGCTGAGATTTTTTTTTTTTAATTCATCT